GCAAGATTCGATGTACATTCAGGAGCAAAAATTTTCAAGATCTGAAAATCTAACAACTATGGTAACCAAGCTAAAATTATCAAAATAAACATCAATAAATAGATTTCGAAAAAAGAAAAAACAAAAAAAAAAAAAAACAAAAAAATTTACCTGGTAGCTCGGTCAGCAACACTTAGCTGACGGTCAGATTCACGGTGACATGAGGATTGGCCGGTGGGTGTGAGTCGCCGGTGGGTGTGAGTCGCAATAGACAGAAGCGCAGCTTGGCCGGTGGGTGTGAGTCGTCGGTGGGTGTGAGTCGCAATAGACAGAAGCGCAGCTTGGCCGGTGGGTGTGAGTCGCCGGTGGGTGTGAGTCGCAATAGACAGAAGAGCTGGTGGGTGTGAGTCGCAACAGACAGAAGCGCAGTTGGAGAAGAAAGTAAAGTAGAGAGAAGGAGGGTAGGTGTGAAGGAGAAGACAAAAGTAATGAAGGAAAATGGAAGGTGGTTGGCTGACAAAGTAGAGAAGAAAGGAGAAAAGAGAGAATAAAAAGATCGCTGGCAGGATTCGATGTCCAATCTACTGTTCACGCGCATGTTTCCTATTTTGAAAACAAGTTTTTTTTTGTTTTCTAATTTCTAGCAAAACACGGAAGATTGTTTTCAAATTTGGAAATGAGAAAAAACTATAGTAAACACATTGGGCTGTTTTCAATTTTCATCTTGGAAATTCTTGAAAATTTCCTGTTAGTAAACGCCCCCTTAATATTTCAATTATACTTTTGCATTAATATTTTTTGTATGTATTTTTTTAAAAAAAAAAATCAATGATTGCATTATTGTTGATGAAAAGTATATACGTCACTTTATTACTCTTATTAAACTAAATAAAGTAGTAGCTACAACAAAAAATAATACATATGCATTTAATTAATTTAAAATTAGATGTCTATAATGTCTTTATTTAAAAAAAAAAAATTATTCATTATAAAAAATTTAAAAATAGATATAATTTCATTAATTATATTATCTTTATTTTCTACAATTCAAAGATTCATTACCTTCAAATTTATCAATTTATTATATTCATTGCATTGTCCATTGTCTTTTTTTTTTTTTTTTACATTATCTTGTAATTAAATATCAAAGTTATAATACAAAATACATTATATATATTTATTTATCAAGTATTTTATACAAATATAATAAATATTAATATTTTGTTCAATACTTTCACATGATAACCTACGACACACATCTCACAATGTATGAAACATGTAGGGGAAAACTACCACTAGTCCACTACCAAATATCGATTAGAAAATTCAATAAATATTATCTTGCATTTAGATATTTTGAATTACCGATTTAAATAAACAAATTCAATATTTATTTACATATGCATGAACATCTCCGATATAATATTGTATTGATATACTTTGAAATACTTATTTAAAAATAATCATTGGGCATCCCATTCGCGCAAAGCGCGTAAAAAAACTAGTATATATAATAAAGCAGAATCTAGCCACAAAATTTTCCTTCCAAAGGGTGAATGCATTTTGATAGAAACAAGATTAGCAAGTATGAATGCATTAATTGTTTGGGTATATGTATTTATACATTTTTTTTTGAAGTTATTATGTGGATTTATATTTTATAAATTATATTTTATTATTATAACTCTATCTCTATCTCTATCTCTATATATATATTAAAGCATAATGAAATATGGAAAAAAAGTTTATTGTGTTCAAATTTATTGGTAAAGTTTTATATTCAATATAATTTGTGTATATATTCATTTAAACCTTAATTATAATTAATTTGACTCCACATATATAAAGAGGAGAAATTAAATATAAAATAAATGTAGTTCTTACATAAATAATCTTTTTCAAATGGATAAGATTTTGGTGGAGATTTTCGACAAATATTGCATGTTATTTTATTTACAAGTTTTATTTAAATACGCTAGTTATATTATATAATTAAAGTAGTTATTTCAAATTCAAATTCTTTTTTAAAAAAATCAAATTCAAATAATAATACAAGTAACAATAAACTTTAAAACCAACATAATAATAGCATAATTAAATTTTTAAAAATATTAAATATTACATTGTATAGTTATACTCAAGTACGTTTTTATGTTTCCACAACCATTACTTTCTTTGCTAATTCAGAGGATGTCAAAAATTTAATTGGTAAATTTGTTAAAATAATAATAGTTCGTGCATCGCACAGGACAATTACTAGTTTGTTTTAGAGGTAAGCTTACTTGGCATCCAAATCATCATCCAAAATATTTAATATAATAATTTTAAGAGATTTTTTTGGGCAGGTGGTTAATTATCACAAATCCCGTATCTGTTATAGTAGGAATACATGTGAGGCAGATAATGAGGAAGTGGCGCAGATCTTAGGGTGCACTACAAGAAAAATGCACATAGACAACACTAGAAATACAACAGTTTTTAAGAAAAGTGTTGTCTTTTGTATAAAAGACAATAGTTTGGTCCAAAACCGTTGTCTTTGGTGCAACACTTTTGTCAAAGACAACGGTTTTTACTTAACCGTTGTTATAAGTGTGTTATCTTTGTGCATTTTATGAAAAGACAACACCACAACGACAACGGTTTTTTAAAACCGTTGTCTATGTGCGTTTTTTTATAAAAAGACAACCGTTTTTTTAACCGTTGTCGTTGGTGTGTTGTCTTTAAGCACACTAGAATACACAACACTAGAAAGACAACGGTTTTTTAAAACCGTTGTCTTTGTGCGCTCTTTTTTTTTTTTTTAAAGACAACGGTTTTATTTAACCGTTGTCGTTGTGCGCTCTTTTTTTAAAAAAAGACAACGGTTTTATTTAACCGTTGTCGTTGGTGTGTTGTCTTTAAGCGCACTAGAATACACAACACTACAAAGACAACGGGTTTTTTAAAACCGTTGTCTTTGCGCATTATTATTTTATAAAAGAAAACGGTTTTATTTAACCGTTGTCATTTATGTGTTGTCTTTAATCGCACTTGAATACACAACACTATAACGACAACGGTTTTATATAACCGTTGTCGTTGCGCGTTCTTTATTTGTTTAAGACAACGGTTTTGTCTTTGGTCGTTTTTTATAAAAGACAACAGTTGTATAAAATAAAAATAATGATGTTAACAACAAGAGTCGAACCTATGACCTCAAACATAACAAATAAGGTTTAACCAACTAAGCAACACAAACTCTTATGTACTAAAGTGCAACATCTGGTATATAACTGGGTTGCTTCTATGTTGTCTGTGAAAACCAAGATAACAATTTTATAAACTAGGTTAGGGAATAGAACCCAAAACTTCTAACATAATCTAACATAACAAACTAAGCTAAACCCACCAAGCCACACCAACACTTACATATTTAAACGCAACATCTAATATATAACGAGTTTGGTTCTGTGTTGTCTCTGAGAACCAAAACAATGATTGTATAAAATATAAGTTAAGGATAGAACCTAAGACCTCTAACATAACAAACAAAGCTAAACCCACCAAGCCACACTAACTTTGGTTTACTAAAGTGTTACACCTTATCTTTTACCTATAATTTGGACCTTCATTGTTTTTTTTACGAGATGAAAATAGATGTTTAATTAGAAGATCTAGAACAAAAATAAAAATGTAATTACATTTTTTTGTCCAAATATAATGCATAAAAATTTAACAAAGAAATAATACAATTCAAAAGTTAATTTAATAGTTCTATTTTCGTTCATATTTAAATATAAAATTATTCACCAAAATTTCAATGTCAATTCATTAAAGTTTTATTTTCAATTCATTAAATTACATGCCATAGAACGGCCCTGTGTGGTGCGGTGTGGTGTTCATAATGGTGCGGTTAGGTGTGGAGGGGTTAAGGGCGGTATGATAGGGGTCGGGGTTGGTAATCGACCCTTCCGGCTAACGCATGACTAACAAGGTTAGTTATATGTTGGTAATCGACCCTTGCGACATGCATGAGACACGTGGAGAATGGATATGAAAGAGTAGTTAATGTCGTACAGTTAGCTATAGCCTATTTATTTTGCCGCGATCTTTGTAACAAGGGCAAATTATGCTATGCAATCGTGTGCACCATGCATGGTGCACACTGTTCTATATTAATAATTATTGAACTATATATTCATAATTTTTGAAATTCATATTCATAATGATTGAACTCTATATTCACAATTACAGATCTAGCTGTAGCCCATTCATTGGGACGTGATCTTTGTATTTGGATCTTTATATTTGGGCCGCCAGCCTGGGCCTGTACCTGGGACTTTATAAGTACTATTTTAGGCCTAGCGCCCCGGATAATAAAGTTACTATTTTCTAACCCCCGTTCTGTACCTATATACCCGTTACTATTTTGGGCCTAGTGCCTTAGGTAATAAAGCTATTATTTTCTTACTCCCGTTATGTACCTATATACCCGGGTTATGATGGACCCGGTCCCAACATTCATTTTTTGTCCTAATATTATTGTGACATGACCAATTTTGGTCTTTTATAAAAAAAATTATTGAAATTTCGTTAAATACATGACATTTTGCTCTTCAATTATGATTTTTTTCATAAAAATAAACATAAAAAATATAACTGGTCAACGCACTTTGTATTAAAAATATCAAAATGTCATTCAATTTAATTTAATTTCAACGATTTTATTGATAGAGGACCAAAATTGATCATGTCGAAATAATATTAGGGCCAAAATTGATCATGTCGAAATAATACTAGGACCAAAATTGAATATTTTGATAAAAAAGGATTACAAATAGACTGATACCTATAAATCTAAGATAAAAAATGAAATTCTCTCTTCTTCAAAATTTGACTTTAAAAACTATCACACTTTGCAAAAATTTCTTTCCCTCTCAAAAAAATAATATTCCCTCGCACACTCTGTAAAAAACAATCTCCTTCCCTCTCAAAAAATAAATCCCCTCTCATTATTTTCATTAACACTTAAGGAAGAGAAAACAAAAACAAAGCCCTCTGAATTTAGGGCTATTCATCTTCAATCTTCAATTCCCAATTCCTGCTTCTCCAACGACGCTCAACCGGCCGCGACCAATCTCTTCAACCCCAGCTTCTCCAACGCCGTGACGAAGCTCCTCAACGCCGGTCACAGCCGGCGGCGGTCACAACTCTCTTGTCGCCGACCCATTGCCCACGGCGGAGCGACAACAGCAACAGCAGAATGGCAGAGACAGCGGCGGTGATAGACAGTAGGGCGTTGTGCGGCGATGATAGACAGCGTCGGTCACGCGGAAGTTCACCCAACGGCGGTAATTTCTTTTTTCAATTATTGTTCCTGAGCTTTGTGCGTTGCTTGATAGGCAGTGGCGGTGATAGGCAGTAGATGATGGATTTTGGGTTTGGGTTCAAACTAAATTTGTGCGTTCTTTCCCCAGCTGCTGTTCGTCTGCCGTGATGATTGAGCTGCTGTTCGTCTGACCGGAGGTTGTTCGGTTGATGGTGATGATGGTTTCTTTATCCCTATCTTTACACTAAACATTCAAATTACTCACAGCTGAACAGGTAAATGTATGCTTAATAAGCTTTAGACTGAACATTTATACTATTGTGTTTTCAGTAATTGCTTTTCAATTATCCAGCTTGATGATTATCTGTGAGAGTCTTTGAGATTCTAAACGTGGAAACAAAGAATACATATAGCTTTTTGTATTGATTTGATTTTTTAGTCATATTTCTACTATTCTCTTATAAACTACTCAGTTATAGATTGGCACAAAACTTAAGCTTGTATTTAATATAATTCCGCCTAGCAACAATTTGAATGCTGATCTTATAGAAGTTGTTGTAGCTCCCATGGTTGTGCAAAAAATGGTTTTAACTTCTCTAGACACCTTATGAAAAGCTTCACCAATTCAGGAATAAAAGCAAAAAGAGAATACAGTTATGCAAGTTAAATGATGTAACTTGATGGGAGCTAAATTTCCACCGAAGCCAATATACTGATCTTTTCCGGCCAATAATGAGCTCTTGGATAGTCATTTTTTTATTACTTAAAATCATCGTTATCATGGTTGCAGCATGTATTTAAGATGGAACAAGAAGAATATGAAAAGGAAGAGATTAACTGGAGCTACATTGAGTTTGTTGATAACCAAGATGTGCTGGATCTTATTGAGAAGGTTTGCAACCACACCTTCATTACATTTTTTATGGCAGATTCTTTAATATTTTTAAAAACAAATTAATGGTCTGACACCTTATGAGGTATTCAATTATTAAATACATGATAATCCACATAGTTAGCTCTGAAGCCAGGTGTTACTTTCAAATTATAATGAGTTGACAATTTGCAGAAACCTGGAGTTGCACTCTTAGATGAAGCTTGGTATGTTCATTCACTACCATAGAACCCATTGTGTTTTATTTAATATGTAGAAGGCTGGGTTTACAATATTTTATTTATTTTATGCTCAGGTACTCACTATATTTCTTTCTGCAGCATGTTCCCCAAATCAACTCATGAAACATTTTCTCAAAAACTGTACCAGACATTTGTGAAAAACAAACGCTTCATCAAACCCAAACTTTCTCGTACTAGTTTTACAATATCACACTATGTAGGGGAGGTAACCAAGAGTCCCTTCTTAGTTGCAAATACTCATAATTCTCTTTGCCAGTGTGATGCTGGATTGTCCTGTATAACCTACAGGTGACTTATCAAGTAGATCTATTTTTGGAGAAGAACAAAGACTATGTGGTTGCAGAGCATCAGGATCTGTTAACAGCTTCAAACTGCTCATTTGTGGCTGGTTTATTTCCACCACTTCCTGAAGAAGCATCAAAGTCCTCCAAGTTTTCTTCTATTGGAACACGATTCAAGGTCTATCACTCAGCTTCCATTCATATTGTAGTTATAAAGTTTTAAGAGCACTAGATAAATCATTTTCCATAAGTTCTGCTCAAGCCTTTTGTCAATTTCTGGCTTATTTCCTTTTCTATTATTTTCTGGCTAGCTAAGACAAGAACCTGAATCATGTGTATCTGATCTGTTAACATTTTTTTTGGGGAGTGCATTTGTATTGCTTTTTCAAGTGTCTTTCTTTACTTGTTGGCTACACTTGTTATGATTCTCTTTAGGGAACTCATTATCTTGTTATGAACAGCTTGAGTATGAATGTGGTGAGAGTAAGAGGGCAGTTTCATTTCATTGGAAATTATTTATATCTATACTAATTTATTTTCTTACTTTTTACATGTAGTTTTAACAAGTTGATTATGACAAAGAGGTTATTGATCTGGTGCGATCTGAATAGGCCGATATTCTATCAAGTCATATAGAGTAGGTATGATTTGGTCATTCGAACGTTGTGATCATTTGGACTTGAATTGGTTCGGGAAATTGTTTTTTGTGTAGTAGTATTATGACTTGGATGATAATTAGAATTGGTCATTGAAGTCTTTTGACTTGTTATTTTGAACCTTATTAGCTTGTGCACAATTATGTAACTACACTTTTCAACAACACTTAATAGACAACGGTTAAAAAACCATTGTCGTTGGTAGAAAAGACAACGGTTAATAACCGTTGTCTATTGCGTGACTTTTAACAACACCAGTTTCAACAACACTTAATAGACAACAGTTAAAAAACCATTGTCGTTTCTAGAAAAGACAACGGTTATTAACCGTTGTCTATGTGCGTGACTTTTAACAACACCGGTTTCAACAACACTTAATACACAACGGTTAAAAAACCGTTGTCGTTTCTAGAAAAGACAACGGTTATTAACCGTTGTCTATGTGCGTGACTTACAACAACACCGGCTTCAACAACACTTAATAGACAACGGTTAAAAAATCGTTGTTGTTTTTATAAAAGACAACGGTTAAAAAATCGTTGTCTATGCGCGGGACTTACAACAACACCGGCTTTAACAACAGAAAGTATATCCCTACGACAACGGTTAATAACCGTTGTCTATGTGCCTTTTTCTTGTAGTGGTGGTTCAGGCTCCTAATTTTGGTAAATACTTAAGACTTCCCTCTTTTATTGGAAAAAATAAAAAGGCAGTTTTCTAATATATTGAGGATAAAATCAGACAAAGGATTAGGTCCTGGAACAAGAAATTATTATCACAGGTAGGTAAGGAAGTCTTATTGAAAAGTGTGGCTCAATCTATGCCTACCTTTTCAATGAGTGTCTTTTTGTTGCCTATCTATTTGCACAGCTATTGAAAGGACCATGAATCGTTATTGGTGGGGTTCTGGAACTGATCATGGTATTCACTAGAAAGTTTGGGATAAATTATGTATTTCAAAGAAGCATGGTGACCTGGGTTTCAAAGATTTGAGAGCTTTTAATTTGGCCATGTTAGGTAAGCAGGCATGGTGGTTGCTTACTAAAACTAATTCATTGGTATCTCGTGTTTACAAGGTGTAATTTTGTGTGAATCGGTAGACTAACGTTTTACCCTATTTTTCTTGTCAAACAGATGGTGTGCAATTATAACTCAGACGATAGAACAGATAATCAATCAGATATACCACCAGACAAGATAAAGTGCGGAAAGGTAAACATAGAAAGCAAAACAACGCAAGATCTGTTTACCCAGTTCGATACAATGTGTGTCTACATCTGGGGGACGATCACCGATGTGTCCAATCCACTAACTCAACTTCAAAGTACAAATGTGGAGAAGAACAATCTCACCCGAGTGTGCTACACAAGGTAAGTATCCAATCTACCATGAACTTAGTGGATTGTTGAAGACGGAGATCTACGCACTCAAGGTCCGTGGAAATCCCTTCAATGGAGATCTGTCTCTGATGCAATCCGCTTCTTGACGCAGTCCTTCACTGTATCCCACAGTTGCGTGATCTTAGCATCCACTGGTTTAAGCGTAGTGTTTTTCTTCTCAAGTTCATCAACTCAAATCATCATGAACTTCCAGTCTTGAGAAAAAAATGTAACCAGAGAATGAGACTTTGAATACAAGTGCTTTCAAGAGAATGTAGAATGGATGATCAGCCTTTTCTTGAATAAGCACAATGTATATATATCTCTGGTTTAATGGAGGTATCCGTAATCAGTTTCAACAAACAGCATCTTAGTCAGATTACGCAGATACCCTTTGAGGTGTCCAAATGAGTGAGGACCTTCTTGTAAAAACACCTCAAGCCATAACTACCTTCTGCCAGTGTATAAGCTCTTCATAGAGCAGTCTTCAAACGGCTTCAAGTCTTCATCGATGCTTCTGATAGATTCCCTAATCAATCAGGTCTTCATCCTTGAAACTTCAGACTGACTTTGACTAAGCCTAATCTAATTTGCCATAGTAATAAAGCTAATTACATAGTTGGGGTTTAACTGTCTAAACAAAACACTAACTCAAGGCCAGGTACTATCTTAAGGGATCATTCTCTGAAGCATGTTTGGGTAATAATCCTAGTTTTTGTTGGCGGAGTATTATGGCAGCTAAAGATTTAATTTGTAGTGGAGTGAGACACAGAATTGGAAATGGGGAAGCGACACTAATTTGGGATCATCCCTCGCTCCAGGATGATCATGATCCTATAGTACATACTGAGATGCCACCACAGCTGGCTGGCGTAAAAGTGGTGGGATTAATTGATCAGGATACTGGTTTATGGGATCACTCGATCCTAACTGATATCTTTCAACCTACGGACATGACTCGTATTTTGAAGATACCAATTTCTCTGAACTATGAGGACACTTGGTATTGGCATGAGGATCCTAAGGGTTGTTACTCTGTTAAAAGTGGATACAGACTCATTGTTGGAAATTATGTTGCAAATGATGTCACTTTTAATAAATGGCTCTATCCTGCCCACTACCACCAACTTGATTATAAGGAGGGTGGAAATTGATCCTACTTGTGCTATATGTGGTATTACTCATGAGGATACTATGCATTCATTGGTTTTGTGTGATTTTGCAGGCTCCATATTGTAACACCCCACTTTTCTTAAAATTAATTAAAGTTCTAAAACCAAATTAAGGTAAACTAAGCAGGGGAAAAACAAACTTGATTAACAAACTTAGTAGGAATGTCACCGTCATAACCACCTTCCCACGGTGATTGCACAGGCTAAGGGTAAAACTAAACATCAAGACAAACTAACATCTGAAATTTACTACATTAAAGTAACTAGGGGAAATAAGTACCCCAATGTCTATCACCAAACAAAATAACAAGTGTCTACATCCAAATCTCAAAAACATCAATAATAGATCAAGAGTTTAGACTACATAGCAACTAACTACACTAGTCTAACTCGAGCACTTTCAAGAGCTGGGCCCACCTGAAAGGAGTTTTGCAAATAGACAAATAGAAAACACCCGTTAGAACGAAGCTAAGTATAACTCCACTCAACCCTGTAAAGTACTACAGTATATACTTTGGAAAAACATTTGTTCACATTCCCAAATTAAGCAATCTAAATCACTTAAACAAAACCTTGATATAAACCACAAAGCTTTCTATATGCTCACAACCTAAAATATCAAATAGGTATACTCCAACGATATCAAACCTAACAACATGCTCATACTATCGCATACTTAACATAGCAAATCTCAATCCTGTATAACTTTTCAATAACAATCTCATGCTAACACATAAACTTATCAAGCAATTTCGTGCTATCAATCAATAAGATATTATTCTCATGCTTTCAAGTTCTCAACATGCAAAACTAGAAATATCAAACATCAATATGCAACTAAGGCAATCATACTCAATATACAATCTCAGGTAATCATTCTCAATATACAATCTAGTGCAAACATTCTCATTATGCAATCTCGTGCAATACTATACTCGAATGCAATAAGATGTTATAGGATAAGTATAGTTATACACTCGTTTGTAAATAGAATACTTTTCTGTGGAAGTTTCTTAGAGCCACAAGGACTCGCTTGCTCTTTCTTTCTCTTGAGTCTCTTGACTCGATTTCTTTCTTGCTCAAACTTTCTCATACTTCTCGTTTCTCTTATTGTGTGAGGCAGGTACTCCGCCGCAGCGAAGCCCTAGCGTACGGTGCAATCTCGTGCATCCACCACATCCGTAGCTATGGAACCTCTAACTCGTGGGGAGGTAGGTTTTCACGAATCGTGAATGGACCTAACCGGCTCGGCAATCTAGCCGGCCACATACTCAACTCGCCCACAGAACCACTCTCTTGGTTCTTTATCTTTCTTTCTTGCTTGCTTTCTCTGTGGAATCAGGTATCGTACTTTTAGTGTGTGCACCCCTAACCAGGATTTCAAGCTTGGCGGGCAGTCTCCAACCTCGTAACGTGGGAATACACCGCGTTACATGATAAATCTGTCGGATCGCAATGTCCTTTACTTTCTCTTTTACTCCGAAAGGACATAGTCCCAACGGGTCCTCCAAAACCTCACTTATATAGATAGTATATATATCTCAGGCAACTCTTCTACTTATGCAAACTTATGCATGTAACTTCTCAACAAATTCTCAATGCAACAAGATAAAGACTTTCCACATGCTCATGAGTTTTGGAAAATAATACTTAGGCTCACGTTGGCCACTTATGCACTTTTAAAACATGATATGCTTGAAATGCAATTTAATGTACATCATACTTCAATTCTATATATTACTGTGAACTCTCAAAGGACACATAATCATGCTTGAATTCATAATCTGACAAATACTAGCAAATAATTCTCATGCATTTGGAACTCAAATTACTCAATTTAAACTCATTCTCTGGATAATAACATTCAAGACTAACATGCTCTGTACACTTCAATACTTGGAATTTGACAAATAATCTCTATGAATCATAACATACTCCTTAGGCATTCTTTTCTAACAAAACCTAAACACTTAGTGATCATGCTTCTCAATTTAACAATCAAATAATATCATGCAACTCACATACGCAATATCAAGTCTGATACTTCTCAAATTCATACACTGGAACATTACTGTAACACAATTGCTTCACAAAATCTATCACATAATGCTCATTTCTAATCCAAATTCAACGAAATCAGAGTCCAAACGTGCGTCATGACGGCCCCAAGGTACCGAGCCACCCGGTCCGAAATGACACGTAGCTGAGCCACAAGGGCCCGGCCACTGCACAGGTAACCATCAACGGACCTAGCGACGGGGCTAGGGGAGCCCCACCGCCTGGAACCGTCCGGCGGCGGCCTCGGGCCACGACCCTTTCCTAGGGCCGTCTAGCCACTGCTTTAGCCAACGGCTCCCCTCGTGGGCTATTGGCTAGGCCCGTGACTCTCACTGGTGCACACTGAGTTGTGCACCAGAGACTTCTTCTTCACCTGTAAAAAATTTGCATACAAAATTCCACTTTGAAATCATCCCCAACACATTATACAATATCAACAAGTCATCTAATAGCTTAAACAAACAATATTCCAACATTTCTAGTCATTTCTAACTACAAAGTAGTGACTTCACAGAGTCAAAAAGAGATTGGGAATCATGGGGTTATACCTTTGTTGTTTCCTCTTCTTTCTCTTTATGTGGTTCCCTTTCCTTTCTATCTCAGATGTTACCCCCCTTCACCACATATTTCCTCAAGCAAACATAGATACATACTAAGTTTAAGACAACGCAGAGATAGAAGGTGGAGAATGCAAAGTCTGAGAGTGAAATGAATGAATGGAGATGGTGAAACTTACTGCCTTTGTTTTCTTTCTTCTACAGAGAGTTTGGAGAGCCAAGGAGGAAATAAGAAAATTGGATGGAGAAGGGATGATTAAATAGGGTGCAAAACCCTAGGAAATTTTCTTATGATTGGTTGATGAAAAAGAGAAAGTTGCTGATTGGTTCAAGAGGTATCTGACAAAGTGTTTGTTGTGTGATGGTCTACCATGTTTCATGAACCAAGGTTTAAAAATCAAAGTGTAAAATACTTTGGGTTTGAAAATGGAATTTCCTAAAAATACTTTATAGACCACCACTTAGTTTTGGTTTCTCAGATTTCTCCCGGTTTCACTCAGATTGACTTTTGAATCAAAAACTTGGTACGCGATGTACCTTAAAATCTAGGATTTTAGATTTAAAATAAGTCCCGGTGTTGAATTTACTTAAAAGTGGCTCAAAATAATTTATTCAAACACCGATTTCATCGCAAAAAATAAAAAATAAAAAAATTATAGAGTGAAAATGGCTATTTTGGAATTTCTTAAAAACCAAATTTATAAAATTAAATTTTGGGTTGTCACACATATGGCGTGAATCCCACCTTCCAATCCCTAATATTGTGACACATAATTTTCATTCTTGGTGTGGTGAAGTTATGAATATTCTATACACTAATGGAATTATGTTCACAGCTGTAATTCTTTATTATATTTAGAGGGTGAGAAATGGTGCAGTTTGGGATGCTTACCTGCCGAGGAGGCTAGTAGCGATGGCCATTACTGTGCTCCATTTATGGCGACATGTTCACCACGGCAGCAACCAGCAACCGACTGTTCCGGTGCCAAGTACAGCCGAGGCTGCCGTAACACTTCCTGCCGCTACTAGCCATGCCGTGCCACCTTTGGTACGGACGTGCCATTTTGATGTGGCCTACCATCCCGCGACAAACAAAGCATCCGTTGGTGCGATACTTCGAGACGAGAATGGAGGATATCTTGTAGCGTTCAACACTAACCTTCCCGATTGTTTCTCGCCATTAATGACCGAGGCTTATGAGTGCAAGGAAGCCTTGTCATGGCTCAGAAATCGGAGCGATTTATTCATCTCTACACGGATTGCGGTAACTCTTCAGCACTATTTGTCTTCCACCACTGGACCAGTTCGTTCGTACGTTGGCTATGTCATAGATAGTTGCAAATCTTTTATTACTTATTTTGATTGTTGTTTTATACTTATTTTGATTGTTGTTTTATCAAGTTCGTTCCTAGATCAGGTAATTTACTAGCTCATACTTTAACATGTTTAGCTTTTGATTAGACTACTTCTATGTATTGGGATACTATCCCACTTGACTCTATTTCAGCTTATCTCTAATATATGTCATTTTGGTTGCTTTTTAAATAAAAAAAAAAGAAGAGATTTTTCTCTGTAACAATAGAACTTTTAAATCTTATCTTATTTTTCAAATAGGGATAGTTATAGTCTCATCATTGATTCATTACTATCCATTAATTTTTCATCATTTTGTCACTATCAATTTTTACATTGTTATTACTACAACATTAATGTTATTTTTATAAATACTAAAAAATAAAAAATGTTAATAGTAATAGTAGACCAAATAACATTTATGTTACAATTTTAAACTATAACAACTATACTATAACCACTTTTAATTAATGTTATACGAAAAGGAATTTTAATGTAGAATTGTAGTATGTAATTATTAATTAGGTAATTATACTAATATAACCGCGTAAATTATGTATTGTCAATGATTAATTGTTTAAATAAATGAGACTATGTTTTGGGAAAAAAATAAAAATAAATGAGACCATTTATTATCCATGTGCAATTTAAGATAACAGTAAAATTAACCCATCAAATAACATTAGAGAGAAGTGGATGAGTGAGTGAGAACACTATGAGTAGAAATTATGACTATGTAGGTGATGCAATTAGATTCCCCATATAACACATTATTAAAATAATTTTGTAAATAAAAAATATAAATAATTAAAACTGCATTGTGGTTTTTATTTCCTCTTGCCGGGAAGTATATGCACTGTATTATTACAATTAGTAATTTTAATCTAAAATTGTATTAGGAATAGGAAATTAAGAATATATTGGTCATGTTTGGTAAATGACGAATCTACCAGTTTTTTTTTTGGCAAATTAGCCAATTTTTTTTTTAACGTTTTAACCATGTCAAAACGCCAAAAGGCCTTTTGCAAACGCTGCAATTTGAAACGTTTGTAATTGACATTTTCGAAAAAAATTAAATTTTCCCCAAAACACCCATGGTAATATAAAATTAAAAAAAAAAAAAAAAAAAAAAAAAAAAAAAAAAAAAAAAAAAAAAAAAAAACTTCACACAAGGAACTCCTCATTGTTGGCCAAGGCAACGAAATGCTAATTTGAAAGGAGTATTGAGGCTCCATTTCCACTTTTGTGGAATGGTGGGAAAAGTGGGAAAACAAAAGGGGAGCAACGCAGCATCCACGGGTGACATACTAGTTAGATTAATAATAGGAATGCCATGATCTGATTCAATAATATCTATATAAGGCATTACGCAGTGTGCCGATTAGCTTACGAATTGAAGTACATAACTATATATACTTAGCTTTCTGCCGTCGTACGTTGCCCCAGCCACCATGGATGGAGGGAGGTTGACGACCGTGGTTTCTGATCCACCTCCACTATCAAATTTTCCTGTCGATATGCTCCTGGAAATTCTCAAAAGGCTCCCAACAAAAACCCTGATGAAATTGAAGTGCGTTTTGAAATATTGGCTTAACCTAATACGTGACTCTTCCTTCGCAGAGTCTCACTTGATCACGCTCGAACTCATCGCTCCGGCGCCTCGCACCTTCTGTTTGCCTACTTCTTGAGATTATCGGTCGAACGAATACAGACAATTTTCCCGGCCACCATTGAGGATCTTTGTTTTAGCGCTCAACTTCCATCGGATAACTTTTGGCGAAGATTTTCAACCTTGCTCCAATGTTGTCAACGACCTTGTTTGCGTGTGTTTAGTCGTCTTCTCCAGGCACTTGCAGCCTTGTATTTGGGTGCTCAATCATGAGGATCGTAAGTATACTAGTGGTTATGTTGTGTTTCTTGGAATCAATCTTGTGTCTTGGGTTTGTAAGAAACAAAGAACTGTTGCTAGATCTTCTACTGAGGCTGAATACAAAACTCTAGCAGATGTATGTGTTGAGGTAATCAGGATTTTCTCTTTGCTGCTTGAAATAGGTGCTGCAAATATTTATGTTCCTAAGTTATGGTGTGATAATCTTGTGCTACATACATGTGTGCTAATCCAATTTTTCATGCCCGCACAAAAATGTGGAAATTGACTATCACTTTGTCAGAGATAGAGTTGCTACTAGAGACAAGTTAATTTTATTCCAACAAAAAATCAACTTGTTGATATCTTTACTAAAACTCCTCTTGACCCTAAATTTTCTTTTCTTAGAGATAAATTACATGTTACTAGTATACCATGTATTTGAGGAAATATCAAAGACTCCTGTATATTTAAGTTAAGTTAGGACTCTCTATCGTAATCTTCCTGTAATTCTCTCATTATATATATATTTGTGATGTACATATGTAATTATTTTATTCAATACAATCGGATCTTTCAAACCCGCTGGGCGCTAACACACCATGACCTCCTCCTTCAACTTCATCGCCACCCCCAATTTCGATTACTTCGCTAGGGAAGCGTCACGGCTTAAGAAAGAAATCATCCGGATCATCCTGAGTGTTATGAACCAAGGAGGTTAATCTGAGCAATATGGTTATTTAGAGTTATTTTCCTTTTGTTATTTCCCTTTTGTTGTTTTCTGTTGCAGTTTTGTTGTTTTCTACAGCTGTTAAATTCTATCAATAGTTCCTTATTTTTAGGAGTTTGTTATTTATCAGCTTTTAAGTGATACTGTGAAGGATTGGCAGGGCTATGACATGAATGAAATCATTTTTCTTTCTTCATTCTCTCTGCAATTCTTCATCTTTACCTCTTTTCTGCAAATCCTCATCTCTTTTCTCTCTGTCACTCTACTATTAGTCCCCAGGTTCTCACATATTGGTATCAGAGCCCCTTTCCTGAGCAGAAATGGTGACCAACGAAGATAGATTCAGAGCACTACAAGAAAAACAAACAGAGTTTGATGAAAGGTTGGAGGCCACAATACAGGAAGTGCACGCCTCTAGACAAGAAGCAAGAACAAACTCAGATACTATGATGAAAGCCTTGACAGACATGAGGGCTGAAATGATGGAGTTATTCCGCCTCAATAGGCCTACAGCACCAGTAATGGAAACACCTCCTCACGGTTCCACAGTTCAGGGGAGAGGAAATGTGACCCCCACCACACAAAACTCTTCCATTCCAGAGAGGGGAGAATGCAGCCAGGAGCAGGAAAGAATCAGAACACTGAGTGGCAAGACGGACTCTCTCAGACCCAATTCCGGTTGGGCCGCGACCATCGGCGAGCACAAAATTTGCGTTTGGTTTTGCGATCGATCTGAGCCGGGTTTCCGGGTCTGGGACTGGCACGGCAGTATCATGTTGTTCGATGACGTAGATGGGTACACCTCTGAGCATATATTGGGGAAATACTATGAGAGATTAACTGCTGAGGCGATGGCGAAGAAGAAACAGACTGAAGAGGAGGAAAAGGTGGCGGAGAAGTTTGGGAATTTGGGAGTCAGGGAGTTGATAGAGTCAGGGGAGGAGGAGACAAATAAGATGGTCTTATTCTGAGGAGGAAGAACTTGAATGCTGCCAATCAGAGGTCTCTATAACTCATCCCTTAGCTTTCTGAGTTTTCAATTACTGTATTTGATTGCATTTTTTGGAAGATCTGGTCTGTCAGGTTTAGTTTGAAAAGCTTTCTGAGGTTCAACTTTTTATCTCAACTAGAGTAATTAACTTCTCTTTAGGCTAAAGATGGAATCTAAATTGACATTTGGAGGTATTTTTTTTTTTTTTTTAAGATCTTACTTGCTAATCTATGTCTTATCTGCATGCTGTCAACGAACAAAGCTTTCGATAAATTACTCGTGGTTGTGCTCGGTAAGTGTTCATTGAATAAGATCAATGAACATAAATGAACAAATTTTAGAGTTCGGTTCATAAATGAACAGAGTCTGAACAGTAGGTTCGTTCGTCAGGCTTGTTTGTGTTCGTTTAATAATATTCACGAACAAACTCGTTTAGTATTCGTTTAATAATGTTTACGAACATGTTCACACACATATATATATAGTTGTTGTGTTGTTTGTTTGGTTATTATTTGTGAATATAGATTATTTATTGTTCACGAACGAATTGTAATCATGAACATAAGCATGTGTTTGGTTATTAAGTGTTCACGACGTGTTTGCAAATGCTAATGAACATGTTCTTGAACGTGTTCGTTAACGATAACGAACACGTTCTTGAACGTTAACAAACATTAATAAACGCCTAACAAACGAACACAAATAGAATTTTCAAAAATCTTAACAAACGAACACGAACAATTTCCATTCATTTATGTTGGGTTCATTAACAACCCTACATGCTGTTGCTTTCAGAAATATACGTGCTAAGAGATAATCATATTGTCATAAAGATCTCTTTAGCCATTTTCAAGGCTTTTTCTTACTCTGTCTGCACACTAGGCATTTCAATCGTTGAAGTCTATTACTCTTAACAAGTGGTCAACTACATGTATACTACTATACTAGGACTATGGGACGGTGGCCTATAAAGAGCCAAGTCTAACAATAATTAGTGGTTAGAGGATTGTTGGGCGGAGGTTGGTGAAGGACCAAGTTCAGAGGTGGTGGCAAGCAGATTGTTGGGAGTAGTCTGGTGAAGGGCCAAGCCCAGAAGTGGTGGCGATATATGATTCACTGTGAGCTATAACTTTTGACGTAGTCAGGGGCGGAGGCACCTTATAGTAGCAGGCGGCCTTTGCCTCCCAAAAGAAAATATTTTTTGAATTAGTAAAGAAAGTAATGGTTGTGGAAACAGAAAAACGTACTTGAGTTATTGACCTTAGAATTATTTTGATTAAAAATGTAAGTATAACTATACAATGTAATATTTAATATTTTTAACAGTTTAATTATGCTATTATTATGTTGATTTTAAAATTTATTGTTACTTAGATTATTATTTGAATTTGAATTTTTTTTTGAAAGGAATTTGAATTTGAATTTTTGTGAAAGGAATTTGAATTTGAAATAACTACTTTAATTATATAACTAACGTATTTAAATAAAACTTGTAAATAAATAAAATAACAGGCGATATTTGTCAAAAATCTCCACCAAAAACTTATTCATTTGAAAAAGATTATTTATGTAAGAACTATATTTATTTTATATCTAATTTCTCCTCTTTATATATGTGGAGTCAAATTAATTACAATTGAGGTTTAAATGAATATATACACAAATTATATTAAATATAAAACTTTACCAATAAATTTGAACACAATAATTTTTTTTTTCATACTTCATTATGCTTATATATATATATATATATATATATATATATATATATATATATATATATATATATATATATATATATATATATATATATATATATATATATATATATATATGTGTTCCAGATCAGGTGAGGGCCTATCTTTAGGTGAGGACTAATCCAGATCATCCATTTTGAGTGATCTGAAGGCTACGACAAAACAAAAACGCGCTGGACAAAAAAGTGGGATAGATGCACAACAATCACACTATGAATGCACAACAAACTGAGACAGAATGTACAACAAACTGAGAATGAATGCACAACAAACTGAGTACGAATGCACAACAAAATGAGTACGAAAAATTAAATTCATTGCATATAATTAAATCACAGCCGTTGGCTTAATTAAATGAAAGGATCAGATAAGTCTTCACGTCCTCACCTAAGGATATGTCCTCACCTAATCCTTAATATATATATATATATATATATATATATATATATATATATATATATATATATATATATATATATATATATATATATAGAATCCGGATCAGGACCTAATCTTAGGTGAGGACGTGAAGACTAATCTTGTGCGTTTGTTTTTTTATTTGGATGGTCCAGATTTGAGTTTTTGAGATGACATAGATTGATTTTTTTGTTAAAGTGGGATAATAGTGTCTTTTTCTAATTTTTTTTTAAGTGTGAACGCATGTATAATCCTTGGCCAAATTGGTTTCCTATTTTCTTGGATCATCACCGTTGCAATTTGGAGCCGCGATTTCTTCATCATTGATTGAGTGTTCGCCCATTCAAACTAATCAGTATTTTTTATTTTTTTTCGCTTGTTCTTTTGAATATAATATTGTCTATATTTGGATTGTCGTGTATATGTATAAATGCCTGGGTAGTACGATTGTGCATTCGTGTGTGCTGATTGTGCAACCTAGTGTTGTAAGTTGTGCACTATAGGCTAGGGAGTTGTGCATTATAACACATAGCTCTATGCATCGTAGAACATTGGATGTTCACTGTATGATTTTTTGGCGGGGTTTGAATGCACAACAATGAAGTTATTGATGCACAACATTCAGTATAGGAATGCACAACATTCAGTATAGGAATGCACAACATTCAGTATAGGAATGCACAACATTTGTATAGGAATGCACATCTTTTAATAAGACTGATTTACCCTAAATTTATATATTTTAATATTTTAAAGGGATTTGTTTTCTTAATCCGTGTGATTTGTTTCTTTTAATCTCAGTCATACATCATTCTGATTTAATGGTCTAGATTAGTCCTCACGTCCTCACCTAAGATTAGGTCCTCACCTGATCCGGACCCTATATATATATATATATATATATATATATATATATATATATATATATATATATATATATATAGAGAGAGAGAGAGAGAGAGAGAGAGAGAGATAGAGCTATAATAATAAAATATAATTTATAAAATATAAATACACATAATAAGATAAAGATAAAGAAAAAGAAAAGATAAAGATTTTGTGGTACCCTTACCTAGGGCCGGTTCAAACATTTTATAGGCCCGGGGCGAAATTTTAAAAAATGGCCCCTATATGGAAAACTAAAATTTAAATTTAATAATACTAAAAAAATAAGAATATCAAATAACAAGAAATAAGATTAGAAAATTTTCAACAATTTTTTAAATACAAAAAAAAAAAAAAATCATGACAAAAAATTTCTAAGTGTTTTACTCGATGCAAAATCATCGATAATTGTATCAAGATTAATATTCTCTAGCATATCTTTCTCAATACACAAAATCGCCAAACCATTCAATCTTTCTTGTGACATTGAAGATCTCAAGTAGGTTTTCAATAACTTCAATTTTGAATAACTTCTTGTAATGCCACAGTCATAGGTATTGTCAATAACATTCGATAAGCATTGTCAATAACATTCGATAAGCAATAAAAACCATTGGGTAGCAATCTGCAACTTTGACAAACTCAATCTTCATATAATAAACCTAATAAACTTACAATTTCATTATACATAAGAATCCTAAGAAATAGAATTAAAAGACAAATAAAATTCTTAATTCTCAACTCTTAAACAACAAATCAATAATTTCTAATTTCAAAATGAACAATTCCTCCTTTCAAAAAAAAAAAAAAAAAGAGCAATTCCTAATTTGCAATCTTAAACATAATCTGCAAAATTCATATTTTTTTGTTAAGAATGTAATCTGCAATTCCTAAGTCCTAACAAATAACAATTCCTAATTTCATTCACAAATAACAATTCATAAATTCATATTACATTCTCAAAAAATTCCTTTTCAAAATGAACAATTAATCTGCCTAATATGCAATTCCTTTTTTTTTTTTTTTTTTTCTAAGAATGTAATCTGCAATTCTTTATTTTATCTTTGTGAGAATGTAATCAGCAATTCTTAAATCCTAACAATTAACAAATAGCAATTCCTAATTTCATTTACAAATAACAATTCATAAATTCAGATTGCATTCTCAACAAATTCTTCTCAAAAAATTCCTTTTCAAAATGAACAATTTCTAATCTAGTAATCTGCCTAATCTGCAATCTTAAACCTAATCTGCAATTCACTTTTTTTTTTTTTTTTTTTTTTTTTTTTTGAGAATGTAATATGCAATTCCTAAATCCTAAATTCCCAAATCATAAAATACCTTTGTAATTGTTGATTACTGAGATTAGGCCGAACTAGGGAGTGGCGAAGGTCGAAGGCGAGGGCGCGAGATTGGTTGCTGTGGACTGTGGTGTAAGAATTGAATGGTTGCTGTGGACTGTGGTGTAGGTGCGACCGGCGAGGCAGAGGACTGCATCTCTTCTTCGCGTTCCGTCTTCCCGTCTTCCACTCGTTCCGTCTTCCCGTTTTGCACTCTTTTCATCTGTTCTTCGTTATTTTTAATATATACGGAGTACTAAATACGAAGTATTATAATATATATATATATATATATATATATATATATATATATATATATATATATATATATATATATAATATTAATATATGAGCTATGGGCCCTGGGCAGGTGCCCAGGCGGCCCATGCCCCTGGGCTGGCCCTGCCCTTACCAATATATTAGGGGGTGTTTGGTTAAAGTTATATAAGATAATTAATGTTATATTTATTTGGGAATATAATTCTCATGTTTGGTTCATGTTGTGTAATTTTCCCAAGGAATGTCACATAACCTCCACATAGGGTAAGTTTTACACTCAAATCGTCCAAATTCCAACTTGCAAACCTGAAACGCAGTACGTAGACAGTAGATTTTCTTCAATTTTCAACCTGCAAGTTTATAGGTAATTTTTCATTTCTTTTTTATTCTTTAAATCTTTGAATTTTTGTTATGAATTATTCTTTATTGGAGACAGATTCATCCGTCCTCACAACAACAAAAAGTTTAGATATTGTAGTTAAATGGTAGCTAAATGCCTAAATCCTCTCTTTCGTTTCCTCAGTTGACGACGACAACCGCAGTGAACTCGGCCCCCGCACCAACAAATCCTGGCTCCGCCCCTGCGTATACTTGCCGTTTGCCGATATGAAGGTGTAGAGGTCCGAGGCTTCTCCTTTGGCATTCTATTTGCGCCTAGGAACGCCACCTTTGCCAACGTCAATAACAACAACAACAACAAAAACAAAAACATCCACTTGACTGAAAACAATCGCTCCGCCACTATCGCTCCGAACTCAGATCTGAATAAGAACCACTCCATCCTCACCACATCAGTGTCGTCACTCAACCCCATTTACTTCACCGGCGTCGTCACACCACCGTCTTCATTACATCCTGACCGTCGCTCCACCACCGTCGTTACTCCATACTCACCAGTTTTTATCGCACCCCCATCACTCCAAACTCATATTTAATAATAATAATAATAATAATAATAATAATAATAATAATAATAATAATAATAATAATAACAATAACAATAATAATAAATAAGTGAAATAAATAAAGATGAAGATGATGAAGCAGTGAAATAAATAAAGATGAAGATGATGAAGCAGTGAAATGAATAAAGAAGTAGAAGACGAAGAGAATAAAGAATATGTATGTTCATGATTACAATTTGTTTGTGAACAATAAATAATCTATATTCACAAATAATAACCAAACAAACATCACAACAACTATATATATGTGTGTGAACGTATCCGTAAAGTTAAACGAATACTAAATGAGTTTGTTCGTGAACATTATTAAGCGAACATAAACAAACTTGTTCACGAGCTTTTAGCAAACGAACCTACAACCATTCAGACTTTGTTCATTTATGAACCGAGCTCTAAAATTTGTTCATTTATGTTCGTTGATCTTATCTTATTAAATGAACACTTACCAAACATAACCACGAGAAGTTTACCGAAAGCTCGGTTCGTTGACAGCACGCAAATAAGACAGAGATTAGCAAGTAAGATCTAAAAAAAAAAGAGCAAATACCAATTTTAGTCCCACGAATATTAGCAAAATGACAGTTTTGATCCACATGTTTAATTCCTACCAATTTTCATCCACGACTATTGTTTTAGTACCAATTTTCATCCACGACTATTGTTTTAGTACCAATTTTCATCCACGACTATTGTTTTAGTGCCAAAATTTATCACGTTGGTAACCCATCCATTTAAGACATGTTGAAATCTTAAAATTTTAAGGATATTTTAGTCCTTTTAAACTTCCCAATTTGAGCATGAATAAAGGATTTAAGCCCTAAGATCGATCTCAATTCGCCGTTCTCCTCCTCATCCTACCTTAATTTGAGGAGAATATTTGTGAACTAGGATCGATCTTAAGGCTTAAATCCCTTTATTTATGTTCAAATTGAGATCTCAATTTATAAAAGACGAAAATTTCCTTAATAATTTCATATTTCGGCATGTATTAAACGAAGGGATGGCTGACGTGATGAATTTTGGCACTAAAAAATTTGTTGTGGATAAAAATTGGTACTAAAACAATAGTCGTGGAATAAGAATTAAACATGTGGACTAAAACTGTCATTTTACTTTCGGCTATGGTGACCGAGGTGAACCTCGTGGACTCTAACCCACGAGAGTGGTTCATCGATACTGGTGCAACAAGGAATTTGTGTTGCAACCGAGAGATGTTCAACACCTTTGAGACCGTTGAGGGCGAGAAGGTTTGGATGAGAAACTCTGCTCAGTCTTCTGTGGAAGGCGTGGGCAAGGTGGTTCTGAAGATGACTTCGGGGAAGGAATTGACGTTGAACAACGTGCTGTATATATGTTCCAGAGTTGAGGAAGAATCTGGTGTCTGGCTCGCTGCTGAACAAGCATAGATTCCGCATGGTTTTCGAGTCAGACAAGGTTGTTTTGTCTAAGTTAGGAATGTTTGTAGGCAAAGGTTATGTAACTGATGGGCTTTTTAAACTCAATGTAATGCCTATTGTCATGAATAAAAGCAAAGTTACTTCTGTTTACTTGCTTGAGTCTTTCAATTTGTGGCATGGTAGACTAGGTCATGTTAATTTTAATTCTATACGTAGATTAATTAACATGAACCATATTCCTAATTTTCAAATTAACACAAATAACAAGTGTGAAATTTGTGTTGAGGCAAAACTAACGAAAGTACCTTTCAAATCAATTGAAAGGGAAATTGAACTACTAGAATTAATCCATAGTGATTTGTGCGATTTTAGATCGATACAAACGAGAGGTGGTAATAAATATTTTATCACATTTATCGATGATAGTACACGTTATTGCTATGTGTATTTGCTTAAAAGCAAAGACGAAGCCAAGGAAAAATTCATTCTTTATAAGAATGAAGTTGAAACCCAACTTAATCGTAAGATTAAGAAGGTTAGAAGCGATAGAGGTGGTGAGTACGAAGCACAGAGCATGGTTGGGAGGTTTCTGTGTGAGATATGTCATTGTCTACACAAACGGCAGCCGGTTCAAAGACATCGCATTCTACCGTACAAGCCAGTAGAGTAAATGTATCTTCACGAGGGAAGGTTCAAAGGGTGTGACCCTACCTATCCTATGTAGGGATCGACCGTTGAACACAATTGTTTCCGATTTCAAAATACTCTGAAAATCAATTTTTCATTCATGTGGGGATTGTTGGAAAAAATAGCTTAAAACGGATAATAGGTGAATGAGATATTGATTATCAAAGTAGACCCATTTGAATTGGAAAAAGAAGGGAAAAAGTGAAGTTTTTGTCCCACATTGGTTTTGGAAGTGGATTTGTCCCACTATTTATACAAGAACTCTTTTTAAACTTATTGAATTGTATAACATATAGGCTCTCTCTCGTGCATAGGGGGTGCAAATCAAATTGAAAAAGGGGTTTACTCAAGCTTAATCTCGTGTGCCGGTTGCGGATTGTTGGTACAACGCTCCTAACACTTTAATTTTAAGGAAAAGAACGTTTTCTATTTTCCCATATAATAATAATCTTTTCGTAGGGTTATTATTTTTGGAATTTTTCATCTTATTACCCAACAAGTTCTTCCTCCGATCCTCAAAAATCATGCCTAGGCGCCGATTAATCAGCGCCTAGGCGCTAGGCGCCCGACCGCCGCCGCGAAGAAGGCCGGAATCGGCCTCCTCCGCGGCCGCCTAGACCTCCTAGCCGGCTGAATCGGCGCTTTATTTTTTATTTTTTATTTTTTTTATTTTTTTTTTGCGTTTTAAATTGCGAAAAGTTCGGGAAGGCATAACTTTTGTCGGTTGTCCGAAGGCAGTTTGGTCCACTAATTTCTCAAAAAAAATGCTTCTTTTGCTCTTAATTTTAGTTTTGTATGTATTTAGATAGTTTAAACAATCTTTTGAACACTTTTACAACCACTTACGTAAATAGTTTGTAAGAAATAACTATGCAAACCTTATGTTTTATTACTAAATTTTAAAAATTTTTAATTTTTAATTTTATTTTTAATTAAAAAAAATAAAAAGAAAATCGACGCCTAATCGGCGCCTAAGCGCCCTAGGCGCTAAGCGCCCCCTTGGCGCCTAACGTTTTTTGCAACATTGACCCTGACTCTATCAGATCAACTCCCTGATACATACAAACTCGTGCCTTAAATTTCTATAGTAAGTCCAGCTTAACTAGCCTACTTCCATCCCTAGCTATGCCAGGAGACAAATTATAATTAAATTTCCTAGTTAGATTAATAATAGGAATGCCATCATCTGATTCAATAATACCTATATATGGCATTACGCAATGTGCTGATTAGCTTACGAATTGAAGTACATAACTATATATACTTAGCTTTCTGCCGCCGTACGTCGCCCGAGCCACCATGGACGGAGGGAGGTTGACGGCCGTGGTTTCTGATCCACCTCCACTATCAAATTTTCCTGCCGATATGCTCCTGGAAATTCTCAAAAGGCTCCCAGCAAAAACCCTGATGAAATTGAAGTGCGTTTCGAAATATTGGCTTAACCTAATACGCGACTCTTCCTTCGCAGAGTCTCACTTGAATCACGCTCGAACTCATCGCTCCGACGCCTCCCAACTTCTGTTAGCCTGCTTCTTGAGATTCTCCGTCGAACGAATAAAGACAATTTTCCCGGCCACCAACGAGGATCTTTGTTTAAGCGCTCAACTTCCGTCGCATACTTTTGGCGAAGATTTTCAACCTTGCTCCAACGTTGTCAACGGCCTTGTTTGCGTGTGTTTAGTCGTCTTCTCCAGGCACTTGCATCCTTGTATTTGGGTGCCCAATCTTACGACCACGGAGAAGAAAGCCCTCCCAGTGCCGCCAAGCTTGGAATTGGCTGCTAAACCAACAACTAATCTCCACCGTAGCAGCAGATTCTATCTAGGGTTCGATCCGGTCTCAAAAAAGTACAAAATTCTACACTACCATTGCGAAGTAGGGGCTTACGAGGTGCTCACGTTGGGAAGCGAAACCTGGAGGCAGGTACGAGGAAGCGCAGCTACAGATGTTGACTTAGGGTTAGGGAAGATTCGGGAAGGTTTCATTTTTCAAGGATTCGGACACGGAGGTATGGCTTCCATTAATGGCAGAATCTATTTCAGATACGTAGCGGAGAGGGTTATAACATTCTTCCATTTGAAGGAGGAAAAATTCGGACAAGTCGCTATTCCACAAAGGATAGAGGGCATTACCTTTAATACGGATATAGTCGACTTGGGAGGGAAATTAAGTCTTGTCGTCGGAATCTATGAGCTCGTCAGCCAACTCCGAATTTGGATTTCGGAAGACGATAACAATAACGTTAATTGGGTTGAGAAGAGATTAACATTACCAGATCTTTATTACGTGGAAACAATGGGCGTCACAGGTAATGGCAAGCTCATACTAAACTGCAAGGATATTCCCTGTCCTCGCATCCCTACTTACTTTTTCTGTTATGATTTGAAGACGTTTGAACTTATAACCGCAATTAAGATGCAGCCATACAGGGATCCTCTTTTGTACAATTTTGTTGAAAACATTGTCCCTTTGGATCGGATCGGATATGATAATTGATGATATGAATATATGATGTTATAGCAGCTAGTTAGCTAGTATGTTTTCATGATGTATGTATTATACTGGTTACGTTAGATAGGGGGCTTTAATTTAATTTGGTACAGTAATTGTAGTATGTGTTCTCAATCATTATATTAACTATACTGTTGTAAGAATCTCAGACGTTAGTTAATTTTCTTTTTATTGTTAAGTTAAGTCTTGTCAAAAATCGTATAATACCATAAAATTTTCTTTCTTTCTTTTAATTCGATCTCGACTTTTGTCATATATTTTTAGACCAAATTCCTTCCACTTAAGTCATTGCAATTGTCATCATACGAACCAGAATTAAAAAATAAATTGAAAAACTAAAAAATAAAAACTCAACGCTAAATCACCAAAGCTGCTGTGATCTTTTCATCAAAATTCTCTCTCTAAGAATGAATTCCATCCTGCCCTTCAGTGAACTATGCAGATGAGTGGCCGACAAATGCAGCAAAGGATATGATCGAGAAGGTACGTTGTTTTTACCAAGACTCAAAAGCCGATATAACAATGTTGTCCATGAGAGAAATAAGAACGATTGTCCATGAGAAAAATAAGAACCACTCGTAACCGTTCACGTGTCCAGATCAATGAATCAAATATAATTTTTAAAAAATGACACGGTGACATATTTGTAAATAATTCAAATTTTGGTGCAATTAAATGTGTTACAAGTCAAATAACTGATGCTCCTTTAAAAGTAAAAAGTGCAAGTAAATTCACTTACAAGTGCAACTATTTTAACTTACAAGTGCAACTATTTTTTACAAGTGCAAGTAATTTACATTATTAATAGAGTAAATACCCAAAATGGTCCCTCGATTATAGCTAAATTCACAATTTGGTCCTCGACTTTCAATTTCAACCAATTAAGTCCTTAACTTTGTAATTTTAACACAATTTGGTCCTATGTCTATTTGACCGTTTGTTAACTGTGATTTTCAAGGATATATATTGATACTGCTAATTACCACGTAAGCAATAATTAAGCAAATATGAGACCAATTAAAGCAAGTAAATATCTTTATTGATCACGGTGAAGGCTCTAAGTACAATCTACTTGGTTGCTCTGGGTACCGACTGACTGCAGTTGGGATTCTCTAACAACAACCTATCGATCGTCCAAAAGTCCCCCACACTGTAGCTATCGTGGGTATTTATAGCCGCTGCGCCGGAGACACAAATCCGGTCGTTCGGCATGCTCTCCACGTAGCCACCACGTGTCATCCTCCCGGGCGCCCTGTCTGTCGTCGCAAGGAGCCGCCACGTGTCCTTTGTCAGCTCTCTCGCCCAAGGGCTACCGCTCGGTGGTTGACACTGCCGCTCGGGCAACTCCCGGTCGGGGTCCGACCGGGTTATTCACAAGAAACCCGACCTGTTACCTGCAAAGACAAGGAGAAAAGGACGAAGGCACGCCGGTCGGGGCAAAGCTATGTCGGTCGGGATATTCCCTACCAAGAGCCCCCCAGCCCGGGCCTTTTTGACCGTCCGGGAAAAAACGGGACGGGATGAAGAAGCCCAACCGTCAGCCATCAAACCGACCAGCCAGCTGTCATTCCTTCCCTCGCCACGTGTCGGCTACTGCCGGCCTCTGCGACTGCAACGGTCGCCTCGGAATCAGCGCGGGTCGTGTCATGCAAGTGGACTCGTTTCCCGCCTAAATGTCCTCCTATAAATAGGCCCTTGAGGCCCTCATTTGAACTTTCTCCAATCTACTGCTTCGATCGGTACCCTCAGAGAGTCCCGAGCAGAGCACTTTAGCAAGGCAATCGAGCAAAGGATTTCAAGACTCTCCTCACAAGCACCTTTAATCGGTAAGTTCTCAGCCCCCTCTCTTACTTAGCATTTATATTCATACGTAGAACTGATAGGTCGCAACTAACTGTCCCGGACGTCTCGAGTCCCATACTAACCCGACCGACCTTTAGGTAGATCAAAATGACAGACTCTGACAGCCAAAACGCCTCGATCGCGGACTACGACGAAGAAATCGAGCACTTCAGTGATGAAGAAGTTGACATCATGTCCTACTCACCCGAGGTCGTCCACCGACCGGTACAAGCCCCCGAGCGGGCCCCCGAGCGAAGAGAAGCATCAAGCTCATCCGGGTCATCGAGCTCCAGCTCAAGCGGGTCGGGGAGTTCCAGCGGAGAAGAAGAGGAAGCCTCGATAGGCGGACGAGATTCCCCGACCGAAGGCGTTAGGGAAACGCCAACCTGGGTGATTGGGGATCACCCGGAAGCCGTTCCTCGAGGAGACGACCGAGAGAACATTCCCGAGCCGACCGAGGAAGATACAGCCGGGCCGGCCGCACCAGCAGCCGAGGAGTTTGAATTCTTGAACAGCGAGAATGTCGAACAGCAAATGAGCCGACTGACCAAAGGAGAGGCGGCCAGGATCGCCGAGAGGCTCAGGGGTCGGGTAGAGTTCGACACAAGCCGGAGGCTCGGGAATGTCATCGACCGGCATCGGGGCAAATGGATCGGGATGCACTACGACTCCCTGATGGCCCCGATTGCTATTCCCTTCCCCCCTCTCCTGACAGCCTTCTTGGGGTACTACTGGGTCGTTCCGGCTCAGATATGCCCCAACTCGCACAGGATCATTGCTTGCTTCCCCCAAATCTGCGCTCGGCATGAAGCAGCTTGCACGATGGAGTTATTCAACTACATCTATCAAGTAAAGGTTCTCCCGGCCAGCTACGGAGGCGGCTTTCTGATGTTGCAGTCCCGAGCAGACAAGTGCGCGATTGAAGGGCTGCCCGGGAACAACAGGGGATGGAAGAACCGGATCTTCTCCATCAAGTACGATCCTTGGATCCTCCCGGTCGACCGTGCTTGGAGCACTCACTACCGGAAACAAGTTGTGCCGGGCGAGACGCAGTCGCTCAAGGACACTGTCGCTCGAATCTCGAGCGAACTGCACGAGTATACGATTTTTCGGACGGCCGAGAGTCTCGAGGCGGCTAGGCTCCCGCCCCATGTGTACGACCTGCCAGAAAAATATCTGCCCGTGCCGATGGGCGTGACGGTCGCCAAGCAGTCCAAACGGAAGAAGAAAGGTCTAACACCAGCTAACTCCTCCCGACCGTAACTCCCCGAGCATTGCTTTAATTTCCCGACCTAACTAAATTTCTTCTTTGTTTGCAGCCATGGCAGAGTTCGGAGATGACGATGCTCATCTTCCCCCGCCCGCTAAGATCTCGCTTGGCAAGAAGAAGCCAAAAGCCAAACCAACTGGGCAAAAGGAAGTCCCGGTGGCCCGACTCCTCGGGACCTCGACCATCACGACGGCCGAGGGCTTCGTGGTCGAGCCGACCGATGTCTTGGTCACCCGGGTGGAGGTCGCCCGGGGAAAGGAGAAAGTGCCCGAAAAGGGCGTGGCCGAGGTTGGCGGCATGAAACGCCGCAGGGAGCAACGTAGCCCGAGCCCTTCAACCAGGGGAAGTAAGGATGGTTCGTCCGTCCTTGCCCGAATCGGCAATGCAGGGCCAGCTCGGGAAGATCTAAGCAAATTGACCCCGACTCAGGTGGTCGAGAAGATCGGCCTTGACTTGGCCGAGGTAAGCTTATTCTCCACTTGATTTTTCATACAAGTGTCTTTGATCGGAGTAACTCTGACCATCCTTGATTATTGCAGATCTCCCGAGCGGCTCAGCTCCTTCAAGAGGTCCGGGACGTCCAGGCGGAGCTGGAGAAGGTCCAAAAGGACCTTAAAAAGAGCGAGGAAGACCGGGTCCTGGCCGAGAAGGTCGCCCAACGGGCGATCGGGGAGGCCAAAGAGCTGAAAGCCCGACTCGATAACCCGAACGAGCTGGTCCAGTCCGTCTTTAAGGACAACGAGACGGGCTCAGCATTCCTTACGGCGGCCCGGGGAACGAAGGTTGGGGAGGACCTGATCCTATCGTTCGGTAGGTGGGCCTTTAAAGCCGGGCGGAGGAAGATGCTCGAGCGGGCCCGGAATCGGATGGAGCAGGCCCTGGAAGGGGACGACCTCCAGCTGGTTCTTTCTGCGCTTCCTCCGGACTTGGCCGACCCCGGTCCCTCTCCCTTCGCCCCGAAAGACAAGGTGGCTGAACCAAGCGGATCCACGGCGGCCACCTCAAGCGGGAAAGATCCTTCCGAGAAGGGTGGAGCCCGGGAAGCGAAGAAGTAGAAATAGTACTTCTTCTTTTTGTAAAACGACGCTGATCGGGAGCCCGGTCCCGAGTTTGTACCGGGCACTCTCTCTTAATTAATAAAATTCGTTTTTTGTCAAACTTGTTGTGCTCGTTCTCTTTTTTCGCACTTTTATTTTTAGTCATGCATGTGCCGACCCTTAATGCTCGACCTCATGGCCTTTTGGCCCGGTCATGCACTACTCGACTCGTCCGACACCCGACCTTATGGCCTTATGGCCCGGTCGTGCATCCAAGATTTCGACATCAAACTGGCCTATCCGATCGAGTTTATCCGATCTCCTGGCCTTGTCAAAATTTTGAAAATAAGTAGGCCTCTACGGTCGAGATTTTCCCGAGCGACGGGCCTATAGATGCTTCCTTCATCCCAGCCCCCACACTATTGTGCCCTCGAGGCACGAGTGGGTGCGATAGTGGAAAGAAGTCGGACGAATCGAGGAATTGTGCAGAGAGCTCTGGCTTTCCCGATCGGTGGCGTGACCCAAATGTCTGCCGAAGAGGAGCGCATTTGACCGGTCGATAGACTCGCCCAGTCGATGTAACTTGACGATGAATTGATCTGCGTGCAATGAAGGTAAAGAAAATAACCGACCGGGCCGCTGTATGCAAACGGTCGAGCAATCACCGATCGTATATACATTGAACCTTCCCGCTCGCAGGCGGTTAAATAAATATTTACAACAATAAATTTAATTACAAATGACGACCGGGGCTAACTCGTAGGTCCAGCCCCCACTTCGTCCAAAAAGTACAAAAAATAGGCTAGTGCCTAAACATAACGAGGTGCTCGGAATTC